AATTTATTTTCTTTAGCTTATTCTACATGTACTTTTTTAACGACAACAAATTGAAGCAGGAATAGAAAGATACATTCATTTGCATTTCTTTACAAAATATTGTTTTCATTAGTGAAAGATGGCTGCCAAAATGTCAATGAAAATTTAGATCTATCAAAAGAGTTTCTTGTGAAGCAAAATCTTAAACTATCAATGGAATCTTTAGTTTTTCTAATACATTTCAGCATATTAGTATTTATGGAATGGCACAAATTAAGTTTATATCATGAGATATTCTGGCCACAATTACATTTAGATTAGAAATTAAGGGGTGAAAGGCAATACTGGGCCGACTTTCGGAAGCACAGGCACAGGCATCAGAATCAACTTACCTTGAGGAGGTTTTGAACGCACGGCACCTAATCGGCTAGCAGACGCTTTGGAATCTTTTAAGGAAACTTCAGGTACATGTCAGAAATTGATTGGGTCACTACGGATGCAGGTCAAAATTTTCCTTATTGCATGGTGTTGCCCAATTTAATAAAAATTAGATTACTTTTTTGTTTCTTTTTCTGTTTTGTAGTATTTTTCACCTCCATTGTAATCTAACAAGTTTTCTATCATAGTCGTATTTGTATGTTACATGAAATTCTGTAATTAGAAACCACCATCATGACACAACATTTAATGTTTTTAAAACGACCGAGCTTCCATATTACTCAACTGTCAATAATGCTCATCTATCACTTAACACAAAATTATATTTTAACATGGAAAATAACTGCACATAGTTACATTAATAATGCAAGAGCTGTGCATCATCAAATTTGCCTTTTACAACTTATTTGTATTTTCCAATTTTCAGTGCTGTCAATAATAATTTCAAACAAAATTTTGGCATCATAAATGATTCACTGAAAAATCCCTGAAAAAACATCCACATGAAAGTTTGGAATATTAGGTTTATTTCTACATTGATTCTGATCAAGGAGATTCAAATTAGAACAATTAAAAAGAAAGTCATAATTGCTGACTCAACAAAATTGAAAACTAATTGCACATAAGAACTATTTAATGTAGAATTGGATTACTAAATTAATCAAGAAAAAAAGACCTAAAACGCAAACATGGATTTTTCTTAGTTGTTTTCTAATGGATGCACCACTATGCACTCAAATGAACCGCAGTTCATTTCTATTATGAATCTAATTTTAGAATATACTTGCTTCATTATCTGTTAAACTACCAGAGAATACAATTACATTGTCATTTGTGAGACTATCATTAAAATAAAGTATATATATGAAACAGAATTGCAAATCGAAGAAACTTTAGAAACAAGTTGAAGAATAAAGTTAAAAGGTGATTTGTAAAACAACTTAAAGAAAGAAGTTAAACAGTAATTTGTGAAACAACTTGAAGAATAAAGTTTAACAGTGATTTGTGAAACAACTTGAAGAATAAAGTTTAACAGTGATTTGTGAAACAACTTGAAGAATAAAGTTTAACAGTGATTTGTGAAACAACTTGAAGAATAAAGTTTAACAGTGATTTGTGAAACAACTTGAAGAATAAAGTTTAATAGTGATTTGTAAAACAACTTAAAGAAAGAAGTTATATGTAAAACAACTTGAAGAATAAAGTTTAATAGTGATTTGTAAAACAACTTGAAGAATAAAGTTTAATAGTGATTTGTAAACCAACTTAAAGAAATAAGTAATTTGTAAAACAACTTGAAGAATAAAGTTTAATAGTGATTTGTAAAACAACTTGAAGAATAAAGATGAACAGTAATTTGTGAAACAACTTGAAGAATAAAGTTTAATAGTGATTTGTAAAACAACTTGAAGAATAAAGATGAACAGTAATTTGTGAAACAACTTGAAGAATAAAGTTTAATAGTGATTTGTAAAACAACTTGAAGAATAAAGATGAACAGTAATTTGTGAAACAACTTGAAGAATAAAGATGAACAGTAATTTGTAAAACAACTTGAAGAATAAAGTTCAACAGTACTTTGTGAAACAACTTGAAGAATAAAGTTCAACAGTACTTTGTGAAACAACTTGAAGAATAAAGTTTAACAGGAATTTATGAAACAACTTGAAGAATAAAGTTCAACAGTAATTTGTGAAACAACTTGAAGAATAAAGTTTAACAGGAATTTATGAAACAACTTGAAGAATAAAGTTCAACAGTAATTTGTGAAACAATTTGAAGAATAAATAAAACAGAAACTGTAAGAATGTGTCAAGGAGTATCTAAAACTATATAAAGAACAGCATCCTCTTGCAATTTCCAAAAACAAGAAATATTTTAAGAAGCTCAATTAATATGCAAAATATGACAGAGAATAAAGATCAAAATAACAAGATCAAATTAACCTTCTAAATGCCAAGCTGTAATTTGATTCCCCCATTGACAACTAAAAATATTATTAGAGTACAAGTTAATCTATATTGAGGTTTCTACAATTCTAATGAGAAAAAAATAATTTTCTAGATCTGATTCAACAAGCATCCTGTACAATTAATCTTTAGATACATATAACTACCTGTCATTGATTTAACATTGGTAAACCTAACGTAGCCAAGATTCTTTACCAGTTGATGTACTTTTTGTACTGATTGCTGACAATTTCGAAATCATCGCATGTTTGAATTCAGAGATTTCACGCATAGATTTAAAAAATAACGCATGAGATTTAATTTACCGAAATAACATGGAGGTGATGAAATCAAGCTAGTTTATGTATATTGGGGCGTTAAAATATTGCGTTAAATTTGAAAATTCAATAAAAACTTGTTCTAGTCTAGTTTGTATGGAGTGATATCAATATTTAGAAGAGTAAATATGTAACGATTGGTTGTAACACGATATAGTGACAATCATTGTCAGGTGTTATCACGTTATGTCTGAGATCTAACAATAATGTCAACAATTCGCAAAGCAAATCGGTATTTTTTCATGTGCAGGAACAACTATCAAGATGCTACATGTAGAGTATTTAGCTCTGTTGCTTTAAAGTCTCTCTGTCAGACATTTTAGCACATGAATCCTGATATTTGACAAATTTTTATCATGATTATGTTATGTTAGAAATAAGTTGGATTGTATTGATGAAAACTTTTCTGTACACCATTACCTCTGAGGTAAAAGAACAGTTGAAGAGAAAGAATTTACAGTTCTCCAAAGCCTGTCAATTTTTGGTTGATCAAATGAAAAAAAAATATGAAGTACTAACAATCTGAACTGCAAAACTTAATGCGAAATCCAAACAACATATTGGCAAAACATTGGTACCAGCTAATGAACTTTTCACATGAGGAAGTATATCAATCATAAGTAAGTATTTTAAAATGAAATAGCATAATCATTGGGGTGCCAATAGAAGCATAGCATCCAGTTTAACTGATATTTCCTTCCTGCAAAAACTTACCAATATTCTCTGTACTTCTCATTCTTTTCACAGAAATACAATAATCTTGATCTTAATGTACAATATGTATGTATACAGATACAACATGTATGTTTGTTTGTATATATTCAACATCTATGTTCGAATGTGTATTTGCAACATCTTTGTTTGATTGTAGATACAGTTCATGTTTAGTAGAAAATACAATATGTATGTTGTGCTTGATTACAAATACATCACCTATGACTGCAAATATTATATATACAGTAAGTTTGGTAGCAAATACAATTTGTATGTAGTTGCAAATAAAATATGTATGCTTGGTTGCAAATACAATATGTGTTTGGTTGCAAAATACAACATGTTTGCTTGGTAACTATCTAGAATTTTATTGACTGTTTTATGGATGGTAATTTTTGCTAGTTTAGATATCAAAGATTCAACCATTTTGTTTTATTGAAATTAATTGAATTAAATAATGTTTCTCCTAAATACAAATTTAACTCATCTTGCCACTTTAAAATCAGATATTGGAACATGACTTACAAAATAGAACAAAAACAACATCTTATAACGGCAAACTTTCTTCCGTTGGTTGACAAAAGAATTAATAATATAGATTATTTCTTTCCAAATCTTGGCAGATTAAATTTGTGACATAGGGATCAACTTATTTCTAAGCTGCACTTTGATGAAGAATAAATTGCAGTCAGTGAGTTGTATCAATATATGGCTATGGACGGGGTTTGTTAGATCAGATGATATTCAAAGTCTTCAATCTGAAGGATATATATCAGTATTTATATGGGTTAACATGAGCGTTACCTGAGTACATGTCAACCATGTTGGCGACCTTTTGGTACTGCTACGGTACAGATGGATGTCTTTTAAGTTCTTAGCAAATAGGATGATTTAATCTAGATTTTGCAACTTTGTCTAAACTAAATTACGGGCATGAAGTTCATTTTAACACAAACTAACTTTCAGTCAAGATTAACAAATGAAGGTGCATCAGAGAAAGGGTAGCCTAGACTTAAGAGCTTTAAAGTTTTCATCCAGGAATTAACATTTTTCCCTCAAATGTTCTCTGCCTACCCAATAATTTCTAGCTCCTATGCTCCTGGTCTAATTATTTTTATTCCATTCTCATTTTGATTATATTTGGGGTTTTTCAATGTTACATTAGAGGATAGTCCAATATAACACTTTTGTCAGCTAGTGTACTTTGTTGCCTGGTTTGTGGCTCTGATGGTTTTGTACATTTACCTACCTTTTTTCTGATTTTTGGCATTTGTGACACCATATAGGTTTAAGTAGATGCAGTTTGACCTATATATCTTCTTATTGACAAACGACAATAGACACAGAAAAACGGGAAACTAACAAAATGGTGAGAACAGAGTAAAAACTTAACATTTGTCAACAAAAATATTGTATTTGTTGAATTGTTGACTTGTTAAGTTTGTCTTATACATGTACCATCTAAATTTCACACAAACATATTGTGGAGGTAGTGAAAGGAAGCTGACAAGTATAGTAGGTACAAGGTATTTCTTGTATGGTGGGATACTTTTACAAACCTCAGCTTATTTCAAACTGCATGTCAAGATAAGTATATGTTCTTGGTTTTACAACAAGATAAGTATATGTTCTTGGTTTTACAACAAGATAAGTATATGTTCTTGGCTTTACAACAAGATAAGTATATGTTCTTGGTTTTACAACAAGATAAGTATATGTTCTTGGTTTTACAACAAGATAAGTATATGTTCTTGGTTTTACAACAAGATAAGTATATGTTCTTGGTTTTACAACAAGATAAGTATATGTTCTTGGTTTTACAACAAGATAAGTAAATGTTCTTGGTTTTACAACAAGGTAAGTATATGTTCTTGGTTTTACAACAAGATAAGTATATGTTCTTGCTTTTACAAAAAGATAAGTATATGTTCTTTGTTTTACAACAAGATAAGTATATGTTCTTGGTTTTACAACAAGATAAGTATATGTTCTTGGCTTTACAACAAGATAAGTATATGTTCTTGGTTTTACAACAAGATAAGTATATGTTCTTGGTTTTACAACAAGATAAGTATATGTTCTTTGTTTTACAACAAGATAAGTATATGTTCTTGGCTTTACAAAAAGATAAGTATATGTTCTTGGTTTTACAACAAGATAAGTATATGTTCTTGGCTTTACAACAAGATAAGTATATGTTCTTGGTTTTACAACAAGATAAGTATATGTTCTTGGTTTTACAACAAGATAATAATATGTTCTTGGTTTTACAACAAGATAAGTATATGTTCTTGGTTTTACAACAAGATAAGTATATGTTCTTTGTTTTACAACAAGATAAGTATATGTTCTTGGCTTTACAACAAGATAAGTATATGTTCTTGGCTTTACAATGCTATAAGTATGTGTTCTTGGTTTTACAACAAGATAAGTATATGTTCTTGGTTTTACAACAAGATAAGTATATGTTCTTGGTTTTATAACAAGATTAAGTATGTTCTTGGTTTTACAACAAGATAAGTATGTTCTTGGTTTTACAACAAGATAAGTATATGTTCTTGGTTTAACAAAAATAAAAGTATATGATTCAATTCTCATTGATTTATTCAGCATTTATACATAGAGATCATATTTTATCCCAAAAAAGATGTTGGTTTGAAAAAAATATCATGTGAAAATATGTATTATTTATCATCAATTTCGTATGAGAAATAATTTGTTTAACAATTGCTGATTTGTAAAAATACCCTACACTCTGTTGGTTTTTTCTATTCTAGTTCTAGTCAATATACATAAAGTAAAAATCTCAACTAGATATACACATGTTCTCAAGTTGACAAGACAAATATTAACAATTTGTATTGTTTCAACCTTCATTTTATCACAATGTTCACATAACATTCATATCTGACAATAAACTTCTAGGATAAAAACTAAAAACATCTTGGTCATATTGACATACCAAACCAATCTTTCTCTTGGTACAACTGCCTTATATTTCAACAGCTTATATTCAAATTTTCTAATATTCAATCCTTCATCATATAAATATCTAGAAATAAAACTAACCATAACCACAAATGTACCAATATGCCAAAACTTCCTGGCTCACAAATGCACAAAATGGCTAACCATATTGACCAAATAGCAAAATATCGGTTATTGTAACCAGTATAGTAATAAAAACAAAATTGAAGCCCAGCACTTTAAATTCTTCTTGCTAGGTTTAACACTGTCTTCAGTGAACAGTTTGTCAAATTTGATAGAATTCCTTAAATCTGAGAATAAAGCTACATGCAAAAAAAGATGAGTGAGCACAAGCTTATTGTAAAAAGATGCACAAATGGACTGATATGACAGACTGTAAATAGTTTACATGGGAGGACAAGTAATGTATTTGGAGGGACAAGTAATGTATCTGGATGGACAAGTAGTTTATCTGGACGGAAAAGTAATGTATCTGGAGGGACAAGTAATGCATCTGGAGGGACAAGTAATGCATCTGGAGGGACAAGTATTGTATCGGGAGGAACAAGTAATGTATCGGGAGGAATAAATAATGTATCGGGAGGGACAAGTAATGTATCGGGAGGAATAAGTAATGTATCGGGAGGGACAAGTAATGTATCTGGAGGGACAAGTAATGTATTTGGAGGGACAAGTAATGCATCTGAAGGGACAAGTAAAGTATCTGGACGGACAAGTAATGTATTTGGAGGGACAAGTAATGTATCTGGAGGGACAAGTAATGTATCTGGATGGACAATTAATGTATCAGGAGGAATAAGTAAGGTATCTGGAGGGGCAATGGTGTATGTTGTTTAGTTGTAGTAATGGAATTAGTCGGTTGTAATTTTTTTGCTTCCCCTCCCCCCTGGTACCTACAGGCCTGCATGAAATATGTTTCCTCACTTCATCTGCATCAACAGGATTTTTTCCTGGGGATGTGAAAAAATCTATATTATGGATGAACTCCCCAACGCCTTATTTATTGATTGGGCAATATTTCACCATTGTGTACACTTAGTACACTAAGTGTACAATTAAGATGGCCATTGCCTTAAAAGGCTTGTTTCTGTTCCGTAACTTATTAATTTTTCATGAGTGTCCATATTTCAACTCCTTCTTTCTTCCTCTTTCACAATAAATATCTAAATTGTCATATTTAAGTGTGTGGTCCAATTGTGATTTATGATAATAAAACTTTGTGGGTATTGAAATACCTGTTTGTATGTTTCAATTGACATTAAAGGTCTGTAAAACCCACTTATTCTTTATGGGCTAAAATTGAAGAGCAATGGAACATTTAAAAACTACTTTCAGGATTATTCATTGGGGCATATCCTAGATACACAGATAATGCACACAGATAAAGCATTTTTCTCTTCTGTGGCTATGCATGTAACTTTCAAATTGTTTAGTCAGGAAAAAGAATTGTTAAGTGGTTTTCTAAACTTTTAATGTGTATCCTGGACACTGATAGCATCAATTTGCACCATTCCAATTTCAAACAGATGTTTGTGGTCCTTGCAATTCCACTAAAACTATGTCACTATTGCAAAGGGCATTTTACAATAATATAATATTTGCAGATTTTGAGATGGAGACATCATAAAGCACTTACTTTTAGTGCTTTTGTATGAACCACGGATGTCCGATTGATGCAAATGGATGCTATAAGTGCACTGTTAAAAGTAAAAAGAAAACCTCTTTACAATCCCTTTAAAAACCTATGCAAGAATTGAGATTGCCTAATGTTTGACATTTAACCCTTACATGTAATTTTACACTGGGAAATACCAACAAGTTGCCCCATAAGATTTGTTAGATCATATATACTTTGCTGAGCCATCATCTAGACCGCACTGTGCCCACCTCTTCTTTAAGTATCAGCCTTTACTTCTCAATTTCCTAAGTCAAGTGGTGAGGAAGACCCTTTTAATCTTCAATTTCCTTAATTTGAAGAGTGCCCTAAAATAGCCATATATTTTCCTTATTTATTGTCTTACATATTGAGACGGCATTCCTTGGGCATTACTCAGCTGAGGAAGTTAACAGTCTTAAAAAGATTACAATCCATACAATTCATTCTTTCCTATATATTAGTCTATACATATTGTAGCAAAGGTTAAGGCTAGCATACACAACAATGCGTTCGGTTTTTGTTACAAACATCTTGGGAACATGCAATGCAAACACTTTGGTCAGCATATATCCTAATAATCATGTAATATTCATGAACCACTTGTGGTATCTATATCCTTTTACAGTTATAATTATTCTCTGTACAAAGTCCAAAATATTTTGTGTCATGTCAGTTGAAAAAAAATATTATGAGCCCCTTTCATATACTCTAAGAAATTTGATGAGTTGACAAACCCAGTTGCAGAGTGGCATCCAGTGACAAGTATTTGTCCAACTGTTAAAACATAAATATACCCAAAAAAATATAAGATTTGTGTAATGTTTGAAAAGGATACTGATTTACTTGTTTAGCCAATTTTACGCCTACTTGAATTCGAGATTATAAATGAGCAATTATGATAAATTCTACCAAATATTATAAATTTAAGATAACGATACAGGACCAGATACTGAATATGAAACTTTGATATCTGTCAATTTTATTAAGATTAAATGAGAAACCTTATCTTAGAAACTACTGTTAATAAATTTCATAGACACAAAAACAGTTATCTTTTCACAGAGAATCAAAATTGAGTGCATATGACAATTGACATGTTTTTGAGGAATAAACATTGAGTGCACATTACATGTGTTTAGGGAATAAAAATTGAATGCACATTGCATGTTTTTGGGGAATAAAAATTGGGTGCACATTGCATGTTTTTGGTGAATAAAAATTGAGTGCACATTACATGTTTTTGGGGAATAAAAATTGAGTGCACATTGCATGTTTTTGGGGAATTAAAAATTGAGTGCACATTGCATGTTTTTTGGTGAATAAAAATTGAGTGCACATTACATGTTTTTTGGGGAATAAAAATTGAGTGCACATTACATTTTTTTGGGGAATAAAAATTGAGTGCACATTGCATGTTTTTGGGGAATTAAAAATTGAGTGCATATTGCATGTTTTTTGGTGAATAAAAATTGAGTGCACATTGCATGTTTTTTGGTGAATAAAAATTGAGTGCACATTACATGTTTTTTGGGGAATAAAAATTGAGTGCACATTGCATGTTTTTTGGGGAATAAAAATTGAGTGCACATTGCATGTTTTTTGGGAATAAATATTGAGTGCAAAATGAGTATAATTTTGCCATGTCTCATGATGGGAGAGCTCTATTTTTACTGCTTCCGACAAGAGATGACAGAAAAATTACCACTGGAATAACTGGCTTGTCGAAGCAAAGCGTTCTTCTTCTATCAATGAAAAGCTGAATTCGCCAAGCTTTGGATTGTTCACTTTTTAACAAGAAACATGAACAGCTTTCAGCTCATAGTGAGAGAGGTCATAGGGTAAAATGAACTAAAATCCACATTCCTGTTCAACATTTTAGCAGGATAACAGGTAAATTGAAATATCTTAACCATTTTTGGATTGAATAATAATTCTCCAGATTAAACTCCAGGTTAGGCAAAAAAGAAAGAAAAGAAGCATTTTTGTCAATAACAACAACTTAAAGGGTCCTCTTTAACCTGCTGATCCATGGCCAAACCTTTTGGCAATGATCTTTTCCCAAAGTATCCATACCCATTTACATCTGGGTCACCTGGAACAATGGGGGAAGATGACTTATTCAAGGTCACCAGACTTTTGGAAACCGATTGAGATTAGAAGCCCAGCCCACCATTTGTATACTGCTATCAAGGACATTACAAGATTCCAATGCTCTAACTCTTTGTGCAACTGAGGAATATGTGAACAATACAATGATCTCAAAAATAATTCACTGTAGCATAGGTCTGTGCAATGTTCTCATGTTACAATCTATGCTCATCTTCACACGAAGGCAATCAGAAAAGCAATAAATGAAGAGCACATTTGTTAATTAAAATAACAAAAAATAGGTCATGCAAGACACATGCACCTGCATTTTACTAGTATATCCTAGGATGTGTTATTATACAGTCATATTATTAAACTTTAATATTCAATTAATCAAAATGTATAGAAAAAGATGTGATTCGTGTGCTTAGATGGTTATCAATGGAATGCACATTCACTCAAGTGTGTCCATTGTGATCATTATTTATATGTGTACACATCAAGTCAAGATCAAATTAATTTACTAATAATTTTGATGTCATTTAACTGATTTATGGTAATTTAAAAATCATGATTTTTTTCTATGTAGGAATTAATTCAATTGCCTGTATATTTGATATATTTACAGTTGGCAAAACTTTACAAGAATTTTATCGAACTGCTCTCATTGAATTGGTGAGATCAGAAGACCTGAACAAATACTTTAAACAAGTATGGTGACAAAATGTCCATGGCATTTTTTAAAAACTGAAAATCAGGCTCCACCTTAAATATAATTCACTAATAAAATTTGAAATTCTTGTATGATGAAGTACATCTGGTAGGTTCAACCTTCTTTGAGCCATAATTATGATATCAAATGAAATTTTTAATATTCTACATTATAAAAGATGTTGATATTATGTCTTCAAATTGTTTAAATTATATGTAATTTCAAATTAGATAATAGAAAAGAGACAACGTGTCGTGGCTTTTGATATATGAGGTTTTTAAAAAAACCTGGTAAACAAATCAGACTGACAATTATAAATATTATATTATGTCTTCTATACCTTGATTAAGATGAAAAAAAAAAAATCAAACATATTAATAATAATTAAAGTCATTATATTAAAAAAGCAATCAATGATAAAATCATGATAGCAACTTTGTCAAAAATTCTTTCAGAGGAAAAAAAACATTTGAAAAAATTGAAAAATCAAAGAATAATTAACTACAATAATGCTATCAATATCAAAAATCTTACTCAAAACTTGCCAATGGAGAAAAAAATTGAAATATCTGTACATAGAAAAAAAACAGTTGTATCAATTGAGATACATTTTCAAAATTTCAAAAGATGATCAAAAAAAAAAAGTTCCAGACGTCGAAAATGAAAGTTCAACAATAACAATACAAACTTTAGCACCTGGTCAAATTTGTCTGAAGATGTTTAAAATCTATGTAATGAAAATGGTTTGAGTTGTTTCGGTATTCACATCACCTGCCATATCTCTGTCTCTTCCTAATTTTGACACCTGAATCATATTTGTTTAGTAGTGATACATTGATTGATAATATTGTGTAATTGTCGATGTTAAAATTTAAAAATGTTTGAAATGAATATGATGTATTAACACAGTATAGGAATGTTACTCTTTGTTTTTTTGCCACCTGTTTTCTTCCTTTTTAAATTTTTGAAATTATTCAAATCTATTTCAACTCCTGAAAGACTGTATCAAGCTCCAGTGATAACGAATATACACTAAGATATGTCATATTGTGGCCGCAAAGGTACCACAGATATCAGAATGGTGTACATAGAAGATATAAGTGTTCCCCTAATATATAAATCTTTCTAATCCATGTTACTCTACAAGTTTTAAAGTGTTTAGGATTGATATACTTCCTTTTATGGAAGTTCATTAGCTGCCACCAATGTATTGCTTAACTGTTATCTTGCATTTTGGGTTTGGTATTTTTTGAGTTTTTTTATTCTCCTTTAATTCGCATGCCTGGAAGTAGGCATCAAATGTACATCATATTTATTGTCAAAGAGTCTATAGAAAACAATTAAAAAGGAACCATCAAAAATAAGCTAAGACTACCCCGAAAAAACTCCACAAAATTTCACTCTTTAATTCAAATAATTTCAAAATTGATCCAATTAAAAACCATTATTGTATAATTGAACTGAAGACAAAATATATAATTACATATCAGCCATATGGCCAACGATATTCAAAATTATAAAAATATACTACAATACTGTATCCTTTAATAAATAATAATAGAAGATAATAAAATAATAATAATAAAATAGACAATTATATTTGTAATAATAATACCCAACATATAAAATAGAATAAAATACATCAAAAAGCTTTTATCACAAACTCGAATGTAAACAACAACAGGATAACAATAAGATTTTTATAGATAACAAAAGATTAATTATTCAATTTTTGAACTGGGAAAAATCATCCCGTCAAGCTTGATTATAACAATGGTTTAATTCAATGTGTAAATTTTAAGTTGTTTGAAAGAAACGACCATTGGCAGTCTTGTCATACGTGGGCAAAACAAAGCCCCTATTTTCAACATAGATTATAATTTGCCTACTCAAGTAAGCCAGTTTATCAGTGAAGCGAAACGTAGCACGCGACTCTTTTCATTATACTTTTCTAAACATGACAAGGTATATTCCTTTGTTCCAAGCAACTTGAAAAGAAATAATAAGCTTCTTGTTTAAAAGTAAATATCCTTATTCATATAATAATCATTATGATGACCATTGTTATCCAAAAGTAAATTTAATTTTGATGAGGTTTCTGTATTAATACCAGTATTCAATACTCTGTTATATTTAGAATTATCCATTGAAAGCTATTTAATCAAGTTAATTTTCTATATTCACAGCACATCAATTTTTATTAGCCAATTATAAGTAGCATAGAGTTTTTAGTACAAATGAGTACAACTGTGTCAAACTTCCAATGAAAATGCTGGCAAGACTTAACTTGTATATTACATAAATTTTGGTATTTAATACCATTTCATGAATTAAAGGGATTGTAAAGAAGTTTTTTAATAATATTTTTATGTATATCGGAGACACTGATAGCATCAATTGGCACCATTCCAAATTTTAACTAGACGTTTGTGGTTTCTGCAATTCCACAAAGAATAAGTGTTTGATGACATTACTAATCGCCAAATTTGCTTTGACGTCATCAATCACTTAGTTTTAGTGAAATTGTAGGTACCACAAACATCTAATGGAAAATTTGAATGATGCAAATTGATGCTCTCAGTGTCCCAGATACACATAAATTTTTTAGAAAACAATCTATTCAATGCCAAATGAAATGAATCAAAGGTAAAAGCCATTCTCCAAAGGATATAGAAGCAATTCTATCAAAGACTATTTCTTAAATATCATCTTCAAAATCTTGCAATTTAGAAGTAACAGTAAATGTACATGCAAAAAATTCTACCTTGATACATTATACTGAACATGATATCCAAGCTAAAAACTATGGATAAAATTTGGGAACTAAAAATACGTCGCAAATTTATTTGAAAAATTTTAACAACTCCATATGAAATTGTGGAACAATTTTTTTTCAAACTTCTTAAGCCTAGTATGAAATAGTATTACGAAATACCCTGAAAATTTCAATGACGATTTACAAATTCTATTTTTTTTCCAAAATTCAAATGATATAGGAAGAAAAAAGGCAGTTCATTGAAAAACAATAGATGTCTTTCATTTGAATTCAACCCAAATCAGCCAGAAGTCAAGTCACGAAATTAGTAAAAAAAAACATAACAAGGATGACCTGAGTAAGTGTTAGATGATTGGATGGGAAAGTTTGTTGGACAACATACTCAAACCATGGATAAAGAACAAGGCTGTCTGGTTATTGACAGACTTAGTAGGTGTCAAAACGACTTCTGTTTCCAATACTTTAGATCAAAAGTTAAAGACCTGACAAATACTTAACCTTGTGTACAGAAAACATTTCCAACTTATCCTGTAAACTTAGCTTCTTACCAAACGGAAACAGTCCTGCTTTCACAGTAAATTTGACAAATATCTGAGAAATTACACTGAGATTTACACAGTGTATTCAAAATAAGTCTATTGTCCTCTTAAACTTGGGACTGTTTTCAAAATGAACTTTTCAACAATGTTTTTGAAGGGCTAAAACTTTGTTTTACAGAAACACTGGCCTGGAGTGAGAACAAAAGTCATTAAAGGGACAGGCAGGCCATTTTTTTGACCAATCATACTTTAGTCTCAGAAACAGGAATTCGTCTAAGCCAATCCGTTATAGTGTTCAAAGATCACCGTCAAAATTTGAGCCTTCAAGTCCATGTGTGTCCAGAATTATCCCTGTTTGAATGTTAAAATGAGGACTCATCAATTTAAGATACTCTGTGATATATATAGACATGTATAGAAATAGTGAGAAAAATTTCTAGTTTAAAGTATTTTTAAAGGAATTATGTGATTTTTGTACATTTCTAGTACTTCTGAAGACCATTTACAGATATTCAAGATCCCCAAAATGGCACACCTGTCCCTTGAAGTTGAATTTAAAATCATAATGAAGATACATACAAAACAAAATGAATTTTATCTGTTTTACTAGCTGGTTGTTTTTACCACGTCCTCCATGAACATAAATATGGTTTTCTTTCCTTGCCCTTCAATTTTTTTATATTTTAGTGAATATTTTCATTGATTATGGTTTCATTATACTCTTCAGATGGAATAAAATATATGTCCAAAATTTTGTTTTATTGAAATTGTTTAATAATTGATTATTAATCTTGATTTCGTCTTTGCCACTTGAAAATTTTTGTTCTTCAAAATCATGAAAGCAAACAACATAGCTCAAACAGTCACCCAAATATCTAAAACATATTGTAACACTTGAAGATATAAAATGTGAATTACCAGATTGTGCTAACAATAGGTCTTCATTGTATATGACAGTCAAGTTTTTGCCGTAGAATGTCAACTGTTTTGGGTACGTGAAAGAAAGAATGTAAAAGTGTCAATTGAGCTAAATTCTTAGCCAACATGAAAGTTGAAGATGTAAAGACAACCAAATAGATGTGTTAAAAAGCAAAAATAGAAGAAATTTCATCTTATTTACGTATTATTGGAAGCTATTTGCCCTGTTTGCTGTATTGAACTCTTTTCTGAAGATGAACGTGTTTTTTCAATTACCAAACATTCTTACGCCTTTTTGCGCGACGAAATATGTGCTTTTGAATAATTTCACACCTCTATAATAAATATTATAAAAACAAATATGAATAATAAAAATATTTCTTGAAATTTTTGAGCGGAGTAGATTTTCAGACCATGTGGGACAAACAAACGTCAAAGCTTTATTTGGATAGATATAAGTTACATACTAGGATAGGAAGTTTAACGTTGTTGCTAAATTCCGCGGCCTCTCTTTTCCTATATTGCATCAATGGTTTATGATTTGAAATCTTCCAGTAAACATCAGCGTGTCAACATCACAATGTTTTACCATTTCTTTTCACTATCAGTCTTTGTGCGAAGATATTTTAAAATACACATTCTATAAACACACTGTTTACTTTCGTTGACGGATACTCGCGAAGGTGTGAACATTACACAAAATATAGTGTCAATGTACTCAATCTATTCTTCTAAAATACATAAAGTTAAACTTCGACAGTGCCAATAACTTAGAGATAATAAATTCTCTTAATCCATATAGCTACCACCAAAAACATAACGATAAAGTGTCAACTGTTTTTAACAGCCAATCATAGACATTTCACTCTTACTTCTGTACCAGGTAGATAGTCACAGTCTGAACAGAAAAACACTTGGAAAGGTTCATGTACGTTGAAGAAACTTAAATATTTAATAAATATATTATGAAGAAGAGAAGCAAAACATCAGATTGAAATTTTTTTTGAAAGGCCACAATTGATCTGAATTTTCTTACTTTTTATAGTAACTTTATGTCAGAAAAAAGAGTTTTACATTTTACTATTCACCTAGATATGTTTGGTACCGAAAAGACTCTTGAATTGCTCTTTTATGATTGATATACTTCATATACTTCCATTTTCTTCTACCTACCTATCGCCAAACTGTTATTTTGGATTTCAGATTCCGTTTTTCAGTTTCCTTAGTACATGGTTTGATATGAAATATGAAATAGGTAATAGAATTATTAGATGTATAAGTTTCTCATTGGAAACCAAAGAACTCTCTTTGCAAAAAATCAAAATATTATTGAATCAGCGAGTGCAGCCATACATGTTCTGTAACTTATCCATCAATATAATGGTTTAAATAATAGAACAGAGAATGACAAAAGCCAATTCTTTCTAAAAGTGTGTCAGAAAACAATATAAGTATTATCTTTCATTGAGTTGATTTTTTAATTAACTAGGGGACAGAAAGACAAAATATCCTAATGCTTGAATGAAAAGTTGCTGACATTGTATATGGTGTATTGACAAGTCTATATATAGCCTAGTAATCAATTATATGGAAGCTAACAATAAAAACGCTTTTATGATTAAGATAATATAAGCGTAGGGCTATAATATATAAAGTAAGCTATAGAATGGTGGACAATAAATATTATGATAAAATATCTATTATTGATTGATGAATTGGTACGTTGTCTGGTATTGTTGGTATTAACTGATATCAGATAGAAATTGAGATATTATCAATCAAGTCACTCGGGATATATATAATTCTTATACATTATCGTTATGATGACTCAAATGATATATGAAAACTAACACTAATATTCCTTGAAAACTTTTAATAATTTCCTAAAATTCAGAATTGAAAAGCAAAGGTCCAAATTTCCCTATATTCTTGGTTTTTTTGCAAAATCTTTCTTTTGCAATTCAAAATATATAAAATGAGGAAGAAATGAAGATGCAAAAATCAATTAGACATTTCAAATTAAGAAAACAGAAATGAAAAAAAGTTTTTGACGTCCAACTTTTGTTCACCCATGTGGGCTAAGAAAGACGGGCAACAACATGCAGTGTCCAATGAGGGAAATTTGGTCAGGAGAGCATCATTCTCCTACTCAATTCAATTTCAATTGCCAACTGTTGAGGGATCTTAAACGTGCACAGCCTCAGTTTATAAAACAAAAAGTTTTGAATTTTATGACAGAAGTGCCTGCAAAAAGAGTAAGTATTATTAACAATGCACTCTCCAATACCCGATCTCATAAAACATGTTATAAAGGCATTGAGAAGCAGATCTTAGTAAATTAATAAGCAGAAGATAATTTACAAGTTTTTAAATGACACATAAAAATTAATCATGTATCAGTCTTCCTTGTTAAAATTAGTCACTTAGTTCCAAACTATGATAAACAACTCATACCAAATATGGCCAAAATTTTCCAATCATCAGTTGGATGAATCAATGCCATAGAAACAATATATATAACAACCACTATAATGATTTGACTAAATACTGTCGGAATTGTTTAGACATGGATAATGAGTCATGATTTGATCACTATAGACTGTCTGGAACTTGTCTGCTACGGAATTAAACTCACTTCTGCTACTATTCTAACCTTACTGCATTTCCATACTTAACACACTTCTAGCTAGTTTTTATCAATACACATGGAAACACATCAAGTGTAACACATGTTTAGTTAGGATAGGAAATTGTTACAAATAGCATCATAAAGCAGAAGTAAAAGACACATTGACATTGGAGAAATGGAGGTTACCATGTGAGTATGTTGTATGAATTACTGTTTCTTATCAATCAAATCACATATAAATAATTATTGCGCTAGTATCGCCAATCATGCCACGATATGATACGCATGGCAATAAAAGTGATATGATTTATATTGCGATGCGGGGTAATAAACTAAAAGTAACAATTTATCTCCAAAGTTTCAATGATTTTTTGCAACTGTATAATTTTAGATACATTAAATGATATCATTCAAATTCAAAAGACTTTTCTGCCATCCATTGATATAAAGTTAGCATATTCCACTTGTATGCCTTGTATTGACCACTTGATACAGTTTGTGTAGTGTCATGTCTCAATTTAAAATCAAAACAAATGACTAACTTAAATAAGATGTTTCTTTTAGGTTGAAAATAAATGCCAATACACATAAGTTATAGGAAATGCAGTGTTCAGTATTTTTGTCATACAAAAAAGTTGCCTATTTGCCTTGTATGTCTTCATAAGAAAATGATCAGGAAAAATCTGCACAACCATCACCAAGTTCTGGACCTGCTAGATATTCAAGATGTGTCTTTCACTCACCTTAATCTCTCGTTTAAATCTCTCTAAATTTTTAATATTGGCCAACTCATCTTCACCATAAAGGAGTACCATAGAGTAGAATATATTATCTAATAGTTTTCTTAGATGGCAATCATCAGCATTATCTTCACTTGTAATAATTATCAATGTTATACTGAAATAATGAAATAAAAATATACATTATCATCAGCATTGTCTTCACTGGTGATAATTATCAATGATATACTGAAATAATATACATTATCATTAGCATTATCTTCAATGGTGATAATTATCAATGTTATACTGAAATAATATACATTATCATTAGCATTATCTTCAATGGTGATAATTATCAATGTTATACTGAAATAATATACATTATCATTAGCATTATCTTCAATGGTGATAATTATCAATGATATACTGAAATAATATACATTATCATCAGCATTATCTTCACTTGTAATAATTATCAATGTTATACTGAAATAATGAAATAAAAATATACATTATCATCAGCATTGTCTTCACTGGTGATAATTATCAATGTTATACTGAAATAATATACATTATCATTAGCATTATCTTCAATGGTGATAATTATCAATGTTATACTGAAATAATATACATCATCATCAGCATTATCTTCAATGGTGATAATTACATTACACTGATACAATGTTATCTTTAAATAGTAGAATAATATAAATCATCATTAGCATTGTCTTCACTTATAGGCCTACATATAAAAATAATAATTAACTAGTGGAATAATTTCTATTACTGATGGTTGTGTCAGTATTTATACCAAAATCATATGTAATATCTTTCGGAGAAATGTTAGAATGCTATGAGAAATTTGCTTTAACATCTATTAAATCCAGAAAAAAATCAGTCTCTATTAATTTGTTTTCAAAATGAGCGATTTTAATCAAATCATCTACCCTGGCTATGCACTGACCACATTATATCAGTCAAATCTCTAGGTCAGCATATAGACAATAGAAAGACTTAAACTTATTTACCCATATGTTGACATAATGACAGGAAGTGTTTGTCCAATATATAAACAAAGACACAGTAGATACATCTTACAGTCTTGACAGGGGTATCATAAACAGTAACAGTAAAATAAATATATTTAGATATTCACTAGACCGTGATTCCTCATTAGTTTGATATGATCACAGTCTGCTGCACTAGATGATTTGGAAGCTGTTGGCAGAAGTTGCGCTAGTGGAGGTAGCTGCCCCTTAGAAAAACAGTTTATACCCCCACTTCATTTGTAAGAAATTTCAATATATGATTTGGATGCCTTTTGCGCCCTAAATTATGTGTCAGAATGCACCAAAACAATCTTATTTTTCACAAGATATTTGGAGGATAACCCCCTCATTACCTTCATAACAATCATGCTTACACCTATGTGCTTCTATTTGGAATCTCAGTCTGACAGTAGTCCAAACACTAAGTCAGTCTGCCTTTTTTGTAACCCCATTTCCAGAAGGCTGGCACAGCCACTGGATTTCCAATACAACCCATGACCACAACAAATGATGTTCATCTTTTGCAGTCCAAGGATATCTCTTGGCAGAATGTTTCTCTTGATAATAGAAGGGATCATGATGGCATTTGTGACAGAACATTCCATTGTACTCTGCTGTTTTAAAATTATCACAAACTTTTTTTAACTACACATGATGCTGAGGAAGAATGCTGAGATGCTCTGAAGAATATGTAATACTTCATCAAATTGGGAAGTGTTTGTCACCATGTGGGAAATTCTTTATTGCATATTTTTCATGACTAAGTAATCCATCAAAGCATCTGTTTCTGAGGCTTCTTGGGAATTTTCAGGCAGACCAGATTCCATCTTCTTGGAGGAATTAATCATGGTTCCATTACATAATTATACAGAAATTGTACCAGAACAGCATGCTTATTTGGTTTCTTCTGTGTGTTCTTTTTTGAAGGGTTTACAGAACAAACAGATAAGTATTTCATAATATATACTTTTAAAATTATCCAAGCATGAATCCTTAAGTAGTATATCAGAAATCAAAATATTGATGTAAAGAGGATATGTCATAAGGATTACCTATCATATGATAAAAGTCAATAGTGCATGAATCCTTGAAGTGGTCTGTAAAACTTTAAATCAATAAGCAGCAGAAAGGGCTGTGGGATCAGTTCAATGACCAGTAGAGGTTGTAAACTCATTTAGATATAATTAATAAGTAGGTACTTGTAACTGTAAGACTGGTAATAGAGACAATGTGTGAAAGTTGTGATTATCCAGGAGGGTAAGGTGTTTGTTATAGGTGCTAGTGGAGTGTGAAGACCTCTGGGAAAACTATCAATACTATAAGAAGTTGTATAGACAATTGTTTTGTCTAATGATCTGTTTAAAGTCCTCTCACACCCAGGAAGTGGTAATCTAATTGTATATATTGTTTAATGTAATGATGTAATCATTGTTGATCAAACTTTGTTAATGACCTTAATCAGATATATCACATCAACCCCCTTTTCTTCATACATCATTAACCATGTAAAAAATGTGTTGTGGTTTTTAGATAACTTTTCTGGACCAAACTTTCTAGTAATGAATGAATGAACAGTTGAAATTAGATTTTGTGCTGATTTATATGATATATTTTGAAATATCTCTATAATGACCATAATCTCTTAAGTCCTGTGCCTGTGCTTTTGTCACTAGTAGGCCTACAAAGTTACAACCTTCACTCCCTAATCTCTACAGTGACTAAGTACTTTTAAAATAATACTTCTTTTAAAAAGTTACAACTATACCTTTAGCCTTAATGAAAAATCAAGAATTCATTTTTTTTTAACTTTACCAAAAAAATGAGACTGTTTTTAATTTCTTTTCAAGCTGGGGCATACAAACCCTTAATATCAGACTAAAGTTACTTTTGAAGCAGTTATGATAGCTCTCATATGAAAGTATATTTGGCAACTTGTTCCTCAATGGTAAGTTATATTGTACAACCAACAGATGACAAAATTTAGGTAAATATCTTGACCAAGTATTTCATCAAATTTATAATGAATATTTGTAACAAAGGTTTCATCATATGCTTAATTTAAATTTGTATTCTTTCACTAAGTAAAATTCATGTGTAAGCTTATCCAACTTTGATGAAGCTCATGGCATTAATACATCAGAACTCAAAAGCTGATGAACCATACTTTCAAACAGAGAAGGCAATTTTAAATCACCCACCTGTTCAAATAATCTTTCCACACCACTTTGGATCCATCTGTGGTTGTTGATCTTAATTCCGCTCCATGATTACTTGCAAACATGTGAACAGCATTCAGAGAACCAATAACTGGGAAGGGTAACTAAATAAAATGCATAATTTTTAATGATTATCAATAACATTAGGATAAGAGTGCAATTAAACTTTTAATTAAGAATACACATACATGGAATTTTTGTACAAACTTGACATGAAACTTTTTTAAAATGGATTTTTATGAGCGAAAATGTGTCCACATGAAATACATTGATAAGGCTTGGTAAAAGTAAACTATAGATTATGTCTTTGGAATGGGGATCAAGAATATAAACTGTGTATAAGTTACAATGATCAACATTTTAAAACTTTGTTGCACATTAAAAGTTACTCTTTACTTTCGATTTGTTTACATCGGAAGTTTCATAATGAAACTTTAATTCTGATAATCAAATTAAAGTGCACTTAATCATTGCTAATTATTATTTCCCCGAAACCCGATAGATCACACTTAAGGAGCTTACCGGTTTCAGGTCCCCCTTAGAGCGTGTAAAAAGAGGAATTCCTCCCCCAGAGGTGAGACAGACAAGATAAGCAGCCATTTCTAAACAAACTTTCGCGCAAGTCTTGTCGACCTAAACGCAATGAACTGTGGGTAGATAAAATGGCGCTGTGATCAAATGGTGTTGGAAACTGTCAAAGAAATAACATCGAATTAGGTGAGTTAACTTATTGACAGTGTCAAAATATAATTTAGTGTTAAAGGTCACTTGATTTGAAAGAGATTCTATAACATCCGATGTTTCTTGCAAAAATATTTGAGGAGAAAATCAATATTCTAATTTCGAAGCGGTGTTTCGCGATCTTATTTGACTGAATGACGTACGCGCACATGCTCTCATCACTCTGTGGTAACATAAACGGTTTTAATATTGTCATATCGTAACATTCTTTCACATAACTTTTTATAACTATGTCAAGGATGTCATGTCCTAAGACACTGCCAAATTTATCAGTTGAAATGCAAAGATTGAGAGAAATATCAAAGCTTAAAGTTATTATAATGCAGGCGTCCCATATCTAACCGCTGTCAGTGTGTGTAACACTGTAATAATATACCCGATATATTGTGCCATGACCCAAGCAGTAATATCGATCGATTTCTATATAACTACTAAAAGTATAAGGAATAAAGAAAATAAGAAACTGTAGAGTACTAAACGTTAGTAACAGGATAAGATTAAAGTGTTAGAACTAAGAAGTAAGTTTTCTCGCTTGTGATATTTTATAGATTATTTTCCAGTTCTACTGTTATATTGTATATTATTTGGGGACCTCCCACGGCAATAGTTGTAAGATAAAGGGAGGGATATATGAATGGTTGGTGAAGTTTCATTGATTATTTGGCGTGTGCCACTGCCTCTTTCGCCTATCACTTTTCCTTTGTGTGTACGGCGGGATATTGGACATATGTCATTACTAACTTAGACTATAGTCCCAATAGTTTTATTACACATTTGACAGTTCATATGTTAGCACTAATATAGATTTCTGGACACTGTACACTAGTGACAAGTGACTTTTGGTGGAGTTGTGGACAGTTTTGGGATTTTACTTATCAAAGTATATTTTATATATTGTTATGCTATATGTCTTACATAATTGTTAAGTGAGTGACATGTGTTAGTGCCTTTCTATAAGAACTGGAAGTATTGAACTGTTAACATTTTAGTGGCTTTTAAATAATATTTTCCATAGTTCTATGGTGGAATTTCTTAAAATTAAAACTAGGTAAAGTAACTTTTTATTGATTTTAATTATTGTGCAACTAAAACTGGTCCAAAAGGTCAAAGCTGTGCATCAATTTATTCTTAATGGCTTGATGAAGTTAGGCAGGCATTGGAGTATGAGTCATCCAAACCCCTATTTGCACACAAAAGACCCTCGCTAGCAACACGAACATTAGCAGACTTTTTTTTTCTTTGTCTGAAATTTTTTGCCTGGAAGAATTTCAGTTCATTGTTTGAACTTGGTAATAGTGAAACAGTTTTCTTGACTTTGTAATGAAATGGAAACGTAATATATTTCATTAGATTAATGCAAGATGCCTTTTAAGTCAAATGTTGTTAAATTATGAAATTTGCAGTTTCTCTTGATTAATATTAAAAAATTAGATTTTGAGAAAAGTCATGAGTCATTAGATTAATTGAAATGAATAAAAATTCTGATGGAATTAGAGATAACATTTGAATTGGCAAATTGTTTTTGAATAACTCCAGTTCTAAAATATTCTCATGCATCGTTGGTCAAATTGAATAAACAGTCCTCTGACAGCTGAAGAATTTTATTGCATATGTGATTGCATTTTTTTTTAGACATTTTATGACATCATGTTATAAATGTCATTTTTGATTGATAGTTTAAAAATAATTCCTTTTGTTAATTAATCTGCTAGAACCTTTTATATATAAATACATTGTGCTCAATACCTTAGGGGGCTTTTTTGATTTTTTTTAATGATTTTAAGTATTTATTTCCTTAATGAGGCTTTACATGTTATAGAAAACTGGTCTTACTTGACATTTGATTGAAATTTTAACATTAAAGGAAAAGGTCAGTTAATCGTTTAAAAAGTTGCACATTTAATTTCTAAGTTAAGTGTTAAGGGATTTTTTCATATCACACTAACAGAAAATTTTATCTTCATTTTATTAGTATACAGGTTCAATGTAGGTGAAGAAAAGATCATTATCAATTTAAAGAGTTTATAAATTCACCATGTAATAATCTTTTTAGATTAAAGGATGGAGGCCATTTAAAAAACATTTTAAAATGTCCTCTAGTGATGATGACAAATCATAAACCAAATTGAAATAATGCCATTGATTGTTTGAAAACTGATATCTATATATCTTATATCAGATCAGAAAATTTTATTTTTGAGGAAACTTGTGTCATGTTCGATTTCGATATTAATAAATTTGTGAAATATTCATGCAATTTATAGAAAATGACGTGACAAATTAAAATTTTGACTAATACTTTAGCTTAATGTAAGGATTTGGAATTTTAAAGAAATAGTATATTGTGATTTTCTGAATTTCCTTCTATTTGAAACACATAGGAAGAAAGAGTCACGAAACCTTTTGTTTGCCAGTAGGTCATATATGGATTGACATCCTTTATTTAAAAAAGAAATATTGAACAATACAAGGTAGGATATTGCTCATCAAACCTCTATTTAATTTTAATGAGTTATATGAAACATGATTAGTCAAATGTAAATAAATTTCCAGTGCTAAAGTAGATAATGTAAAATACATGTTGGTGGTAATTGATCCTATTGGCAACATGCAACAATAATATTAAAATATATCAATTGTATATGTAAAATGATAAGCTTTTGTGGTAGGTTCAGTGTAGCAAGTTGAAGGACAGAATGTCATTTAAATTAGTGCTGTGAGTTCAAATTTTCTTAAATCCATGCTTCCATGGTCAATGATTTCGTGTGTTTTGATCCTTAAATGAAGAAAAATACATTTTAATGTATCTTATTGGCATTAACCAACATTCATCTGCACTTAAATCTTTTAGTTAAATAGAATTTAGTAAATGTATGAAAATTTCCAGAGCAAAGAATTTCAAGCGTTACTGCATTCACTCAATGGTCTTAAAAGCATAAAAAGGGAAATTCTTCATAAACAAAAGCATGGAAAGCTGAAATACCTCATTAAAAGAACATTTCTCTAAAACATTTTGACATATTCAGGAAATATTATGATAGTTGTGATATTGTGTAGCTAATGAGCTCTCAGTGATATTAAGCCATTGTTCTGGGTGAAGATTTTCTGCTATCTTCTGCTAGAGTAAATGATTGACAGCTATATAATAAAGCTGGAAAGTTGAGAGAACAAATACTATTGGTCAATAATTATTCTAGATAGCAGATTTTACTAATAATTTACTAGTTTTATCTACATTTTCACTATTTGTGTTAAAATTGCGGAACTCTTACAAGGAAAACAATAAAAGGACTGTAAATGTTTTAATGCTTTTCTGGTGAGTCTTTCAAAAGATATTTATATTTGATATGGTTATGGCCAAAATTTTGTTTACACCCTCTAGGTTGGCTAACTGCTATCTTAACCGTGTAACCTTATTGGTTTTGTCAGAGTCACTGAATATAATTTGTAAGTTTGGTTTGACAAAAACTATTGTAAGTTGTCAAGAAGATGGTTGAGGTGAAGCATCTATTTATTCAATGCTTATGTTATCAAATTTGTAAATCAGTGAGGGAAGCCAGTTGTAGCATTTACTAAAACAGAAAGATTCCATTATCAAAATTAAACACATTTTATTGCTGGATTTAAACAAAATCTATTTGATCCTTTCGGAATTACTGTTTAGCAAAATGAATTGAATAAAGAAAACTTTCATAAGTCATTTTGATTCTATCATATCGATCAGAAGGATGGTCATAATTTTTATATAGCTTGTCTTATCTTTAATGCCACACCTTCTGTAAATAGTCCGCAGATTTGTTATCACGGTACTTATTTACCATTCTGCATATTGCTGGATAGTAAATCTGTATATCCAAGCTTATCAACTCATCGAACAATCTGTTACAGAAAGAGTGTGCTGGTTCTTGATCTATCCAAGGTATTTTTTTCGATATTTTCAAGTCTGCTTCATGACTTCCACATCCTTTGTATTGGGGTTTAGACAGTTTTCTCCTTTAGATTCAACTTCAGAAAAATGGTTGTTGAATCATTGTTACTTATTGTTTTATCTGTACCTCTCTTTTGGAAGAAAAAAAAATCTTAATCTTGGTCAAATTTCCAAGCAAGAGGGTAGCTTAATGAAATGCTGTATTGATACCATTAGCTGTATAATTCCTTGTATAGAGGTGAAGAGTTATGGCTAAAACATCACAAAAGCACAGGCTCAGGTTGCAGTAGATCATAGTAAATGTATCAATTTTAGAAATTTAAAGTACAAATGTTATCAAGGTTCAGAAATAGATATTTGTTCACGTTGGATACATGTTCTGTTGAAACCTCCTCAAGTGTTAACATGTTATCAGAAAACAGCCTTTACTTATTGGTGAAAATCGATAACTACATTATACAGAAGATCATATATATATCTTAGTTGTCATAAAGGTTTTATAATGATAGATGACTCAATCAAAAAACCTTGTTATGTGTATATTATAAATCAATAAATTATATTGATCTCTTAGATATACAGTTTATATTAAATCACAATTGCAATATCAGATTACTAATCACAATGGAATAATAACATATCGTGATAAATATCACAAATTAATGAATAAGCACCAAATTTTCTTCTTTAAGCTTATGGCTAATTAAAATTTCAATTCTTATTTGAAATTAAACCGCAAGATTAAGTCATATCAATTCAGATTTTTTTTGTTAGTATAAATTGATGGGCGCCATATTATATGTTTTTGTGCCATTTTTGGGTAGTTTTAACTTATTTATGTGCATTTGCATCAAAAACATCGAAAAATAATTTTTCTAAAGAAAGGACTCTTTTCTTGGACCAAGTATTTTTAACATGTTTACCAATTTTC